AAGGGGGGAGAAAGTCCACCCAGCGCTGCTTAGATGGGCATTGGAGTGACGGCCACCAAGAGGTAGTGCGGGCAACCTGGGACGTCTTCCTTGCTCCTGGTCCCTTTCAGCTAAAGTGTCTGGAGGAAATGCATCTTTGCAACAGAGGGAGAGGCTTGACGCTGTAAGGGTTTCTTCTCTAAAGGGTCCCCAAATGCTGCGGGATGCAAGAGGGAATACCGGCAGGGTGGTTTGATGAAGGAAAACTTGACTTTTTACAGGCCGGATGTTTGGGATAATATTTTTCTGCTTAACTGTTGCTTTGATGTAACTCAAGATCCCTTCCTCTCCCAGTGACAGTTTACCTAGCATTAGGAATATAGTAGCATGCTGATTCTGATCGTTGGTATTGCACAAGATTGCAGTGAGAGTGTAAACTTGCAGGGCCAGAAGAGATGGGAAGTCGAAAAGATATTGGGCAAGGAGATAGTGGCTGGCCACTTCTCTTATCTTATCAAGAAAACTTCATAGATGTGACTCTGTGAGTCAGCCAGAGTCAAAGTTGGACTGGAGTGTTCTTTGCCTTCTCTCTCTCTCTCTCTCTCTCTCTCTCACACACACACACACACTTAATCTATAGTCCTCACACTGACAGTGAAATAGGCTCCACTGAGAATGAGACTTGTTTGGGAGTAGATATGCGTTGATATGCATATTGCCTGTTTGCTGCTTTATTTTGCATCAGATAATATAAGCCTGTACAGAGATCTAATATGGGTATTCTTTCCCCTTATCTCAAATATTTCAGGATTTCTCTGGCTAGTGCTAGTTAAAAGTAAAGGTAAACTAACACTCCCAGGTGACGAATTAAATGATGGATTTCTCTTCACTCCCCATGTTATGGATGTTTTTTTCCTCTCAGCAAATAATGGGTTTGGTATTATTTTGTATTATTTTTAATTTTCTATCTTGCCACTGATTAAAAATGCAATCCTTCACAGTGCTTTGTGTTGTGAGACAAAATTGCAGTGTAAATGTTATCAGTGTCCTGCTTTTATAGACTTCAAACTGAACCAGTGAATTCATTTGATCTTGTGGTGTTTTTCCATCATATCAACTATATTCTTGTAGGATGTTGTCATTTTTGAGTTCTTCTCTGAATTCTATAATCATATATGAGATAATACGAGATAATACGGTAATTAAGGGTTGTTGGTAGTTTTTTGGTTATATTAGCATTAAAATGAATACCAAGGTCAAAGCTATTCCATAGTATGTATAACTCCTTTAGAAAATGATTGTTCTAAGGAGAAGAAAAGAATTATATTGTTAAAACAAATTCTTATGGGACGCTAATACCAGCATGTATGTAAAAGTTTTGAAGTAGTTGACTTTGCCTTATATTTTCTTCAAAGAGTTATTCATTAAAGACCACAGCCATTCTCTTTAATATGAGGGCTATTTTGCACTAGAAAGACATTAAAAGAAAATTAATAAAATCAGTCTCTTTTGATATAAAATATAATCTTTATTCCTGAGTTTGATATTTACTGATGGTCATTTAAAAAGCTGTATTTTTCTTCTGTTGAATAGAATGTGAATATAAATGACATATTTCACTTAAGAATTCAAAAAGTGAAGTTCAAGATTTTCTGCATGTGTATCTGTATACTTAAGCCTTAACATTTCCCCCCTCATAGTTGAAAGTTAAATAGAAAATAAATAGAATTGAATTAAGATCTTAAATTCTCTTCAGTGAGCTTTTTATAATATGTAACATTAATTCCGCCAGTTAATGAAAATACAGTGGCTTATCTATTTTTTAAAGGGCAGAAAAAGTATGGGGTTGTATTTCATTAATGTTGTCTTTTATCCAATAGAATATGCTTTGTGTGAGGAAAAAAATTGCTGTGCCATTTCAACATTACTGCCTAATGTACGCCAAGACTAAAATTCTCACAATACAAAGTGTATTTTTTTCCCTCTGAGCTCTCAGGGCTAACATTCTTTTTTAATGACAGTCATTTCTCTAACGGGAAGATGTTTTCATTTGTATTTACTTTTCAGTGCAGTGCAATTATGCAGCTCCACACTGCACACTGCTTTCATAGTTAGTATCTCAAAAGAGAATTACAGTCTTCACTACAGAACTGCAATTGGAAGCAGGTGTTGTATTTTACTGTTATGCAAAATAACAGTAAAATATAATTGTGGTGGAAATTAAGGAAACAGCTGCAAAGTTGGTATGGAGGTTCCTTCATTATAATTTGTAGGCAGTTATCTTGCACGAATAACTGGGAAAATATTTTATGTACTGAATCTTATATACACATGCATACATACATGTTTGTGTGTGTATGTATGTGTGTGTATATATATGTAGATATGTAGATACAACTTAATGAAATTTAAAGAAGTACATTTCATTTGGGTCTATGCCTGGTTGATGGAATTAGGATTTTATTTCATCATCAGGGCTTTTCATAATTTGAAACAAACAATCCTGATTGTAGAAAGGGAGTTGTGAGAGTCCTTAACCTATGTACCATATGGAATCCTATGTAGGCCTGAGGTTGTGTAACAATAAAAGGGAGATGCCCATCATGAAAATTTGTTTCTTGAATTTTGTTCTGAAGTAGAGTTTAAACTTCATTGTATACTCTTACACACTTAATTTTGAATAGTATTTGGATTCAAAGATAGCATCATTGTAGGAAAAGAGCCGTACAATATACAACATGGGACTTTCTGGCTATTCCTAGCTCTTCTCAGTTATAGCAAAAGGGCATATTTCAAGTTTGGAACAGTATAGAGCTCCAAACGCTGTGTATTTTGGAGTTACTGAAAAAGCCCAGATACTTCTTAAAATATATTTTTATCTCACTTTAGAAGTGGATTACACTCCTTCCTACAACATTTTTAAAGATATTTTTTTTTGTAATAAGGTAATGAGGTTTTTTTTCCAATTACTAGATTTGGAATCAGAAATATTATTTTTGTGCTTGATGGTAGGCTTTTAGAATAACTTGGTCCAGTAACCAAGATTGGAAGCAGTGTATTCTCTGATAGCAGTGGGGAGAAAAAAATATTTATCTGAAGAACATGGATTGACAGATAAATATATATGTATTTGAGAATAGAAGTGGGGTGTGTGTGCAGAAATGAATTGTTATAATGTATTTGCCCAAATTTATGTACCTTTGAGTGGGGAGGATTATTTTTAATGAGAATGGTTTGAAAAAAATTGGGATAGAAGACACTGCATCATGTTATTCAAAGTGATCTGAACAAATATAAACAGGAGAAGGAAGTTATATAGGTAAAGTAAGCAGATAGAAATGTGTGACATAGTTTAATCAATTTAAGATAAAATGGCTCATGGTAATAAATTAAGAGTTTTAATCTAGAGTGTACAGTTGTATGTTTTAGCTTCCAATGGAAATATGTTAGAGAAATAGGATTGTAGGTGACAACAAATTTATCCCATGGCTTTTAAGCACTTTTCATTTTGCATTTTAATAATTAAAAAGTAGGCAGCTCTAGTAGGATGTTAAAATATAGTAGAGAGAAGTTCTTCTCCCTTATACTCTTATGTATCAATTCAATTGTCATAATTCACCAACCATAGCCAAGTTAAGTCCAAAGCACCTGGAAGGCAACAGATGGATGAAAGGAGCCCTTAGAACATATGCATTGCCTTGACAGATGTATGGATCATACCAAGGTCCATCTGCTCGTGCAATCTGTTGCTAAAACTGGTCTTCTAGGTACTTCTGTAAACTTGCAAGTGGTATATAATGGGAATGGCCATCCTTGCTTATTTTCTTCAGTCTGATATTGAAGAGCATATTACTTCTGAATGTAGATACCCTGTTTAACTTAAATGACTGATAAACTGAATGTTCTTATTTAACCTTTTGTAGCCTTTTAGTCACGAAATCTTTGTGTTTGCATTGCATTCAGGATGCATAATTCTTGCCTGTTTTGGATTCCTTTCCAGTGCTTTCTCTGGATGATGTGGAATTTGAATATTATAATAAAGAGAAGAGGGGGGGAAAGTATGCATTTTTAAACTTTTTTCAAATTATAACTTTCTAAATCTTTGCTACATTTATCATTAGATTGACGTTGCAAATTAGAAAGTTATATTATCATTATCTTTTCCTTCTAACAGGTGCTATATCTTGGTCTTTTATTTGCCCATTTTTTAATTGCCCCATTTCCAGCTCTATGGCAACTTATGAAATGGAGTCACTGAATGTGATAAATAGCTATAATTGTATTTTGAAATATGGCACATGATTCTGGCAATACATTATTAAAACATCAGTGAGAAATGTAAGGGAAATTCAAAATGAAGAGTATAATTACATTTTATTTGTTTTACAGTAATATAATGTAAGATAACCTACCCATAATGGAGTGTTTTGACGTTTGCCAAAATCAAACTATATTTGCAAAGTATAGAAGGAGGAAAAAGAGGAATAGATGACAACTGTTGAGTGACAAGATACTTGTATGCTAGATTTTTTTAAAAAAATAAACTTGGGTTGCTGTTATTAGAACTGGTAGATTTAAATATAGGAAGAACATAGTTTTAAATTCAATATAAAAATACATTAACAACATTTTATTAGGACTAATAGGGCATGTAAGCAAACATTGCCGCTTGGCATATGAATCAGCAAACTAGGTCTTTTCTAAGATACTATATTCCATTTCCCTTCCTTCCTAATTTTCCATTATGTTCTGGTCAGTCTGCAGTCTGTGATCACTGCAAGCAACCTTAAGCTTCCTTCCCAAAGATTGTACTTTTGAATGCCTACTGATATCTTTCTTCTTGGTTGTGGACAGTTTTGATTTTGCTTACACAAGTATCCATGTTTGGAGATTGAGTTTGCTATGACTATGTATGCTAATGTGATATAGGAAAGATGCATCAAGAAAAATGTTAGGCTGAGCTTAATGTTTTTAGATGGAATTTCAAAATGATAAATGTCTCCATATTGTTGTCCAGAATTCTACAGAGTTCATGAGGACATCTTTGGCTTCCAACATTGGCTGAAACACAATGCTCATTCCTGTCTTTTGCTCTGGAAAGTTGTAAGTCGCTCATGTCTATAAAGAGGAAGCATGGCACATGGAATTCCTTCACAAGGCAAAGTTTCCATTTCTGTGGATGAATACAGCTCAAATCCAACCCAGGCATTCACACACTACAATATTAACCAAAGCCGATTCCAGCCTCCACACGTACACATGTAAGTACAGTTGAGCCATTCATGTTGTCAGTCATTGTGTAACCATCTTCATTGATATCAAAGGGATTTTAAAAAATCATGTCTATCCTGCATTAATTATCTAATTTATCTACTGTATGCTTACAGTGGAGATGTGGGTTTTTCTAACATACATTTTTCATTTATTTTTCAGTATAATTCAGAATAGTTAACTAGGCTAATCTAAACATTCCTAACACAATGACTTAATAATCATATAAGCATTTAAAAACATAAATAATTGGACTTTAAAAATTACTTGACAATTTTGTAGCTTTTACCAGGCTCATGCCTCCAGGCATCTTTGCAGGGATAAAGACTAAAACATTTTGTTTTTAGTTTTTTTTAAAAAGGAGATGATTGAAACATTAGCTATTCTATTGTGTGAACTGCAACGAAGTTGTTTCCAACCCTAAGAATAGGATGTGGAAATATTGCAATTATTGCTGCCCTCTGCTATAAATAAGTCGATCAAAAATGTCCAAAATGGGTTGCATAGTATGTTAGATTCAAAGAGCTCCAGATGTCAGAGACTTGGTTAAAACTCAGTGCAATTTTGTGTGCGAGCTGCAGGCCTTGTAACCGACTTGTAGCTTTATTGATTTCACTGGAACTTGCCAGAGGGACATATTTTGTGAAAATGTGAGCACCCTTCCCCCTCTCTTTGCACTCAGCTGCGAAATAGGCCTAATTGGGACTAATTGTCTCCTGATCACTGAATCCTTTGTCCTCCTTGTTGTAAGGGGAACGTGTGCCGCATGCTGCATTCTTCTGTCAAGAAAGACAAAGGATTCCAAGAGGGCTGAACTATTAATCCCAAGAAATACAAATACTGTATTAAAATAATGTTTATGTCCCAGACTTAAACCAACAAAGGCAGAGCAAAAGGTCTTTTCCTTAGCTTGCTTTGGTTTTGGTATTGTGTCTTCTGAGATCTCACAGCAGAAGGACTTAACAGAGACCAAGTGCTGTCTCATGTATATCTTATAAGTGTGGGTGTGTTATGTATTGTGTGTCCATGCTCCATAAACACATACCATTTTAAAAACTAAGTAAAGTCTTAAATTCCAGATTTCCTTCCCATTGTTTAGTGAATTGTGATCTTTATCAGGCATTTTTAGCTAAGCTTCTTTTTTTCCTCCCGTCTAATGGATAGGTTAAATTATAAAACAAAGGGGCACCTCTTGACCTCACAGTGACCCAAAGCCGAATGGGCTATTTCATTCATTGTGTGGATAATAGCTTTTGCATAGTGAGAATGCTGAAGCATGTTGCTACTTTGAACTCTACTTAGGAGGAGGTATAAAATACCTGATAAGATGTTTTCTATTGAACAATCTTCTGTTGCACTGAGGGTGGTATGCAAGCCTTTGAGATATGCAGAGCTCCTCAGTAAATGGAAAGCTCACATATTTCCACCCATACGAAAAGAAAGGGTCATTGCTAATGCAAATATTTTAATCCCTTTAAAACACAGTTGCCCTTTCATGGACTAGTTTTTAAAAAAAAGGCTTTGGGCACGATATAAAAAGCATGTGGTCAGCATGTACCTTAGAAGTATTTCTTCTACCAGTGGGGTAAACTCTGAATTTTAGAAACATTTGAAATAGGTGTAGTAGGTGTTTGAGTGAATGCAGTTCAAGAGAAAAAAAATATCCAGCTCTGCCTTCATGTTTGTCTTTCCACATGATTTAATAGTTTTGCAATGAGAAAAAATTCCAGGTGTTATTTTAACAAATTGCTTTTATCTGATTGTTGAGTTGAACTGTAGCTACATTTGTTGCACAGAACCTGGCAGTACAATATGCCGTGCAGTTCATTTGTATTACAGAGATTTTTTACATGAGCTTTGAGTTCTCTTTGAAGCTTTGGAAAATGCAGAATGGTGAAATGTTGAAATCCAGTTTTACTTTTAAAAATAGGATATTATTATCTGTGGAAGTGGAATGAGGTTTTCTCTATAATTAGTTGCAAACTAAAAATAAATATCACATTTGTTTCTGGAAATTAATGGCTACATTGATATATCTGTAAGTGCAACATTTTACAGGGATAGATTTTTGTTTATTTGTTAATCAGGTTCACTAAAGAAATCTGCTGAAACTTAAAAAAGGTGTGCAGCTTGTTCTAGAACTGTTCATGAATTCCATGAAGTTGCTTAAGAATAATAATTGAGGAAGACAAAATGTAAGACAATCTCTAGCAGAATTAAAAGATAGAATTTTTATGGTTATTAGAGAAGGTTCCATATATTTTCTGTTTCTTTGAACATGCTTTTTTTTTTTTTTTTTTTTTTGCTTAAGGGGCTTTAATTCAGTCTGTATGTGTTATACTTCTGTATGTTTTCTATTTCTTTGTACATGCTTCTTTTTTGCGCAAGGGACTTTTCTGCTTAAGGGACTTTAACTTGGAGATGTACATACAGAATTGTGTGGCCGTACTTTTTTACATCTAAAATAGAGCTGCAGGAACATGGAACTTTGATAGGTTTTGTTACAGGATTTCTTTCAATGGAATTCTATTGCCATGTTTACTGAGGTACACAACTGAAACTACAAAAGATGGAAAGCGAGCATAAATTAACAGAATTGTTGGTAGTAAATAAAGAAAGCTTCTTGGCCTATTTTTTCTCCTTAAAATAATTTCCTCCCAAAGCTGTACAGATAGTCCTCGATTTACTGCCACAGTTGAGCCCAAAATTTCTGTTGTCAAGTGAGACATTTGTTAAGTTGAGTTTTGCCCCATTTTACAACCTTTCTTGCCACAGTTGTTAAGTGAATCAGTGCAGTTGTTAAATTAGTAAACAAGGTTGTTAAGTCAATCTGGCTTCCCCATTGACTTTGCTTGTCAGAAGGTCGCCAAAGGTGATCACATGACCCCTGAGACACTGCAACCGTCATAAATGTGAGTTAGTTGTCAGGCATCTGAATGTAAATGACATGATCCTGGGGATGCTGCAATGGTTGTAAGTGTGAAAAATGGTCATAAGTCACGTTTTTCAATGCCGTTGTAGCTTTGAACGGTCATTAATCAAACTGTAGTAAGTCGAGGACTATCTGTATTAGGCTATAAAATAAAAATCTTGAATTTGATTAAAAACATAAGGTAAATTTTGGCCCTGTAGTGTTGCAAAGTATTCAAAAATGCTTCCTTAATCACAATTAAGATACTAGTGGACTCAGAAGTTGAAAAAAAACCTGTTGTTGGTTCCTGTATATTTCCGCTACCTCCCTGTTCTTCCTCTATATTTCTGAGTTAATTCCATGAATTATGTACAGGTAGTTCTCGACCAGTGGAACCCCAAATTTACATTGCTAAGTAAGACAATTAAGTTGAGTTTTGTCCCACTTTACAACCTTTCTTGCCACAGTTCTTAAGTAAATTACTGCTGTTGTTAAGTTACTAACATGGTAGTTAAGTGAATCTGACTTTCCCATTGACTTGGTTGTCAAAAAGTTGCAAAAGGTGATTGCATGATCACAGGACACTCTGCAAACATCATAAATACGTTCAAGTTGTCAAGCGTCCAAGTTTTGATCTTATGACCATGGGGATGCTGCAACAGTCATAAATATGGAAAAACTGTCATAAGTCACTTTTTCAGTACCCTTATAATTTGGAACAGTCAGTAAACAAATGGTTGTAAGTCGAGGATACGTGTATGAATTTTAACTTTCATTAGACTTGTTCTTATTGTTATTTCCATATTTATTCACTTATTTACAAAATGTATATCCTATTCCGGTGTTAAAATATATAACATTAATTCAAAACAGCAGAGAATTGTTTCTGCAGAAAAATACTCATATATTTGTTCAGTAGGGGCTAGATTTCTGCAGTTTTCAATGAATATTTATTAATTAATCAAATGTATAGATATAATGAGAAATGACTAGATTTCATAGAGACACATTATTGTACAGTCTTGAAGAGGTTGATTAAAAGTTGGGACCCATGAAACATACCCTATCAACTTTATTATAGATTTCTTTGTTTGCTGACACTATAAATGCTAATGGTTTGCCAATTAATCAAAACTGGATGACAGTATACATCTTTAAATTGTATTTGCCTTTCTAGATCAATCACTTTAGTTCAGTCTGTAACCTGTCTCATAGGCTTGTGGTGAAGTTGTTAGAGAGGAAGATTAAAGTAAAGGGCAATAAACATCCATTTAGCTTATTTGAACAGAAAGCATTTTCATGTGTATGTGAATTCAGGTAAATTTTAGCAAAATGTATAATAAAAAATGTTACACAATAACACATACAATATGGCTTCTGGAATCTTTTTTCCAGTTCCTTACCAGCAGTAGCAATAGAAGGCCGGGTATATATTTTTTTGCAACAAATGAATCTGGGGTATGTGTGTGTATATTTCTGCTGTTCCTTTTTATGTTTTCTGTGTGTTTGTGTATAAGTGGGAAAAGCTGTGTGAGCTGCTTTTACTTTATTCTGAATTATATGCCCAGGTTGGAAAGAACATGAAAAGGAATAGTCAGCAACATTCTAGCTATTATCAATCTACTTTGCCCAGGAATACAAAGAGATTATGTTTCCTGGAATATTTTTCTAGTCTGATCTGGCTCATTTTCAAAGTTGGCCTTTCTTTTGTTAACTTCTCCCACCAATACAAATTTGGTCCCTTTAATTTTCAGTTTTGAGACAGTTAACTATGTTGAATGAAAGTCAAGAGTTTCAAGCACCTTTACATAAATTTCTTTTCAGTATTTCATTAGCTTGGAAAAATAAGAATGGTAGACAGAGAGTGTGGTTTGATTAGAAATTCTTGTATCCCATGTAAAAAAAATGCAAAATATTTCCCTAGGACGGGTAGGCAACCTTGGCTCTTTTATGACTTGTGGACTTCAACTCCCAGAATTCCTGAACTAGCTGGCTCAGGAATAATGAAATGCAGATAATGCAGTTGAACTTTAATTAAGGGTATTTCTTCTGTAAATATGCTTGTTCTGTACTGGCAAT